TTTTTTTTTTTTTTTTTTTTTTTAAAGCCTTCAGATAGAATAAGCCTGCCATTTCTTGCACAAATAGATTTTTGTGGGGGAGGGTGCAGAGCAGGGTGGGGACTGGGTGGTCAGGCTGAGGTAAGATTACAAACATCAGTGCCAGATCTCACTTGTGCATATTGTTTTTCAGGGCAGGTCTGTACTGTGTGTAGTGCTGTTTACATGGCTGAATTGAGGTTGTGATAATTATTTTTAAAGATTTACACGGAGTTGACTAGCACTGTTAACTGTTAACCACATTGCATTAATTCCCAGGTGAGTTAAAGCTCTTGGAGAGCCAGGGCCAGCCAAGAGTGTCTGTTGTCTGGTGACAACCCCTTTAAGCTGATTTATCTGAAACCCTTCTCCCTGCACTTGCTCATTCCTTTGTGACCCATTGCATTTCATGTTGAGTTTACGCACCAGCACCGGCACCTGCCAGCCAAGCGAGCAGTGTTCGAGCACCGCCCTGACGGCCACTCAGCCTTGAGTGCAGAGAAAGCAGTGCTACCTCAGTTTTGCTGGAAGTAGATGTTGATAGGCTTTTTTGTTTTGTTTTGTGATGAATTTTCTGTATTTTCATGTTCTAAGTGGAGATACAGTTGTTGTTGTTTTTTTCATTTGCCTCGGAGCCAAAGTTTCTGTTCCTGGTGGTCGGGAACTGCCTGGCGGCCACCGGGCATGAAGGAAAACTGTGGTATGGAGCTCTGCTTGAATACTTTCTTAAAAATGTTTCAGTATCGTCAGCTTACTTGTCTGGCAAGTGCAGAGGCCTGGGGCTGACCTGAACTCTGCCAAACAAACATAGAAACGTATTTAATAGTTAAATGTGTGCCCTTTCCCTTCTTGCTGCACCCATGTTGTCACTTACCCCCAGGCGTTATTTATTATCTGTGTTAATGTCGGGCTCATCTGGGGTAATGTGATGGCTGTTTAGGTTTACATGACCCTCTTCTCCTTCCCCTCCCCCAAATATGTATATATACATATATAAGATATGTATATATTTTACCTATATAAAATATATATGTACACGTATATGTATCTATATTCCCATTTGCCTGCTAAAACTGGCCATAGAGGAGGTCGCTGCCTTCAGTACGTAAAGCATAAGGAGAGTGCCAGGGAACGTCAGGGTGGAGGCTTTTGAATCTGAGTTTGGACCATTTTCACTAAAGAGAAGATGAATTTTCTCAGCTCTTTCCTCACAAGAGGGAGGGCCAGTTCCCCAGACTCCTCTGCGTGCTTGCTCCATGAGGCCAGCTTTGGACAAACTGCCACACAGGAGCTGACTCTGGTCCTACCTCGTTTCAGTAGAGGGTCCTCTTGTTATTTTTCCACTTACAAAAATGCCCTTAAAAAACTGTACTGGAAGGGTGGGTGGCAGGCACTTGTACAGTTCAGCTTCCAACACTTTGGAACAGATTGAAAAGGGAATCTTTTAAATAAAAACTTATAAAAATACTTATACTTTGAGGTAACGAGAGTTTGTCCATTGAGCATTTGGAGTTTCCTCCCTAACTGCCCCCGTCTCCCTCCCAGGAGTGTTCCTTAGCCTGGGCAGGAATGCTTATTTTGAGTTTCTTTACTAGCCTTATGGATTCGGACCCCCGTCTTTACAGAGATGGTTATTTAAGGGGTTTCTGCCATCGATGGTTTTTGAAATTGACATTGATGTGGAGAATGTAATTGGAGTTTGATATTTGTAATCCTAAACCTGACAGTTGCCCTTTTAGAGGGGCGGGTGGGGAACTTTCTGGTCAGCCACAGCAGGTCAGCAGTACTGCTGGAAAGCTGGAGAGGGGAGGGTCTAAGGCCAGGTGTCTGGCTTTGTTTAGCCTACGACACAAGATCCTTGTATAAAGAGTTTGTAGGGATCCCAGCTGGTTCTGTGGGTTCAGTTGTAGTCAGGGTACCCAAACTGAGTTCTTAAAGAGGCCACCTCATCCAACCAGTCTGAAGCGCCCCCCGTTTTTCCCAATTCTGAATTGGGTAGAGGTCGAGGCAGGCTGTTCCTAGCCAGGTAAGGCTCCTTCTGTCTCAGATCAGAGAAGTACAGAGAGAAGTGCACAAAAGAAGGAGGCCCTAAGGATCCTGAGGACTTGGGAGGAGCTGATTCCATCCCCAGGCCCACAGAAGAACCATTTTTTAAAATTATTTTTGGTTATATTTTTAATGATATAGTTGTTACAGAAATGCAAATGAGAGACCTGAAAAGGGAGCAGTCAGGGAGGAACTTCCAAGTTCCTTCCAAGTTGGAGTCCCTGGTGCAAGGCATTCTGTAGTAGCTCTGGGCCAGTGCCCGACATCCTCATGACCGCAGGAAAGCAGTTTTCCTTCCATGCCGGGTGGGTGAGTAGGGGTTTCAGTTATGCTTCTGGGAAATGAAACATCCCTGTTTCTCTTACCCTAGAAATAGGTTCGTAACTTAATGAGCAGGAATGGTGTGGAAGAAGCCAAGTGCAGGCCCCTCCGCTCAGCCAGGGCATCCTTCCCGTGAACAGTGGGTGGTGCGGAGAGGGCAGGATGCGGATGCCATTTTGAAACTAGGCAAACTGAATTAATGTGTTGGCAGACAGCTTTGTGAGCTTCTGTGCTGTTTCTTTAGCGATTTATGAGAAAGCTGGATGCGGTGGTGCTGCCTCATTGAGTTGCTCTTCCCCCATCCCTGCAAAATTTGAATGTATCATTCTTAACCCTGCCTCCTGTAATGACACTTCGCTAGGCTTCAGCTGGCTGCCTCAGCAGTGCCCCCCCATCCCTGCCAGATGTGCCCACATTTGAGTTGGTTCCAAGCCTCTGTACCGAATCCGATAAGAAAAAATCTAGAGCTGGGTGAAGATCCAAATTTCAGCCAAGCTCCAGTCCAATTGAAAATGTACAAGGCATTGTTTTCAATGTTAAAAGGCTTAAGCCACACAGTATTAGTTGTTCTTTGAAGCAGCGCTGGTCTCCCAGGAGCTGGAGCCTGCAGGGTGTTGGACTCCACAGTTCAAGCAGTGGCCTCACCTATTAGACTAGACCAAATTGTGTTAAATGGGTGGGAAATTACTGGGGTAAGGACTTGGGTCTAAAACCAAAGCAGATCTGTCTTTAGGACTGGTTTGGTGTGCCACAGTGAAAGTGGTCTTCATGCGAGGAAGCCCGAAAGTAGACCCAGTTGTACAGTGATGAGGCGAGGGCTGGGGGACGCCGCTGCCGGGCTGGTTTTGCTAGTTGCCTGTGTTTCCGTTGCCCTTGCGTCTCTGGTTAGTGAGGATGTAACCATCTTGGTAACGGACTCCAGCTGAAAGGACTACGAAGTCATGACGTACAGATTTGTCACGCGGTAACTGGGACTTTTTGAGGACACATGAAACTCACCAAGGGGGTTCCCAGCCCCTCCCTGCAGGTTATTCCTGTGGGACGCTGTCATTACAGCATGTTTTTAGTGTAACCTGGACTAGGCCTGCGTTAGTGAGGATCGGCAGGTGTTTTCCTTCTTGCCGGGTGCTTCAGCTCTGGTTCAGAAACCAAGGTGGTTCCGATGGCTTTGCGTGACCATCAGGTTCTGCTTCCGATTAGGTGCCAGGGCGTCACATCCTCCCTGTTCCTCTGGAAGCTCAGGCTGCTCATACGTCCCTCCTTCCACTTCCCACCTCCCCTCCCTGCTTCCAACACAGATCTTGGATGTTGCCAAAGGAAGCCGTTGAGCTGCTGTGGGTTCCCCCTAGTACACATTTATTCTGGGAGAAGTGTCTTCCCTCCCACCCTGGTCCCAGCCCGATCTGTGATTAATTGCTCTTACCTGTTGCACTAATGAATGACTCTAGGTTTCAAAGGGGGAATTTGAAGCAGTAGGCAGAGGGGGCTTGGGCGAGTTGGTCTTACAGGTACCCTGCCTTACCCCGCTGAGGTGATGAGTCCACCACTCAAGTGACCCTCCAGCTTTGTGGATTCCTCTTGGTTTGTGCTCAGTGTTTCTCGAGGTTGTACAAACTTGTTGACCGAAGTCAATACTTTTGTTTGTATTCTCTGCACTGTTACACGCTCCAAATGGCCCATCGAATATTTTTATTAACCTGTTACACACGTTTTTGTCTTTGTCTACATTATTTCTTCTGATGTTCTTTTATTTGGAAGGGTACCTGCTGTTGGGTTTAATAAATTTGTTTACTTGATTATTGACAATTCTGGAAAAAATCAAAAACCAGTGACTTTATTCTGGGGCAAGATTTGCCCACTAGGAGGCTCTTCCAGTATGATACGGGATAGCAGTTCCTATGCTTTGGGAATTCCGGATAGTGTAGGGCCCCCAGGCTCTCCCACTCACCAAGCTTAATTGTCTTTGGGGGTCCCCGTACTTTAGGCAAAAAGCAAATGAGTCCTCACCCG